TAGCCCACACTTCCTGAGCTTACCTAGGAGGATGTGATGGGAGACAGTGTCCAAAGCCTTGCTGAAGTCCACGTAGACAACATCCCCCGCTCTCCCCTCCTCTACCCAGCCAGTCATTCCATCCTAGAAGGCTATCAGATTGGTCAAGCACGATTTCCCTTGGGTGAATCCATGCTGACTACTCCTGATCACCTTCTTGTCCTCCACGTGCTTAGTGATGACCTCCAGGAGGAGCTGTTCCATCACCTTATTATATAAAAGCAAATCTGCCTAGTTCACTGCTAATTTTGCTGTTCTACCAATACCTTTGTAGTATGTTCATTCGTCAACAAACTTCTTAACTAGTTTGCATCAGTTATATCTCAAGTCTCCAGTCTAAAGGGGGATCTAAAAATGCTCTGTCTTATCATAATGGGACAATTTTATAAATGGAAGGGAAACTGGCATTGAATATAAAATTTCATAAATGAGCTTTTGGCTGTTGCACATTCTTGGATATTTTGACTAATTATCAGATACATATTAGGGATGAAGTTTCAGACATTTGAGATATCACAGCTTCAGAGCATTAAGCTTTTTCTTTGACAAATGTAGTCAAAAATCTCTTTAGTAATTTTATCTAGTTAGTTACCCTTGCTTCTCACATATATATTTACATTCATTTATTAAAAATCTTTACTTCTTTGCTACAGAAAGCTGTTTCAAACAAAGTCCTGATTAGCCCTCATGTTTTAATTAAAGGATATACTTCGATTAATCATTACACGTATACTGACACCTGTAAATACCATATTTCTGTTACCTACCTTTTTTCCTAGGATTCATATATTAGACCACCACATTTTCAGTGGTGAATCCAACACCACCTATAAGCTTCTGCATATCTCTGCTCTTACAATAGAAGTCCTACAGCTCCTTCTTTTATTTACACCCTTGGAGATACTGAAAACTAATTGGACGATGCCATGAACAGCTTGGATTGAAGTTGGCCCTGATTTGAGCAGGGGGGTCTGAATCTGTTTGCCTCCGGAGATCCCATCCCAGCTAAACTATTCTGTGATTCTAAGCAACAGTGACTGTAGCTAGTCTGTAGGATCATAGCACCATAGGATAATTCTGGCCTGCAGGGGCCTTGGAAGGTCTCTATTTCAACCCTGCCCAAAGCAGGATCAGCCAGAGGGTTGCATGAGGCTGCACTAGGATTCATCCCTTTGGAGCTTTAAAGCCTCCAAGGACAGAGATAGCAGCAGAACATCACTGGGCCCTAGCTCCCATTTGACTTGTCCTTGTAGGAAAAAAGTTTTTCTTTATCTCCAGCCTGAACCTCTCTATTTTCAGCTTATGCCTGCCATCTCTTGCCCTCCTGCCAGGCACTGCTGTGAGGATCCTGGCCCTGTCTGCTCAATTCCCCCTCCCCTATAAGGTCCTTGAGAGCTGCTGCAAGGTGCCCTGAAGCCATCTGTGTTCCAGGCTGGCCCAGCCCGACCCCGCAGCCTCTCCTCACAGGGCAAGGGCTCCAGCTCCAATGTCTCCGAGACCTCCCCTGAACCCACTCCAATTTGTGGACATCTTTCCTGCATTGGGCGCCCCAACTGGAGGCAGTGTCCAGCTGGAGTGTGATGAGCGCTGAGCAGAGGGGCCCTCGCTCTGTGCTGTGCCCCTACTCACACCACCTGGGATGCTGCTGTCCTCAGGGCGGCCCGGTGCATGGCTGGCCCCTGCTCAGCTCACTGCTGCCAGGCCTGGGGCTTCTCCATAGAGCTGCTTCTGGTCCAAGGCAGTATCACTATCAGCCCTTTCTTCCTATCTGCCCAGACCTTCTGCATGGCAGCCCTGCCTTCATGCATACCAACTCATTTCCACCCTTACCTCACCACCATTTGGTATCCTCTGCAAATGTGACAAGAGTGCACTTCATCACCTTCTCCAGGCTGCTGATAGACGTGTTAAGCAGCCTGGTTAACAGCCTGGTTAGGACAGGTGCCCCAACAGACCCTGTGAGACCGCAGCTGGCACCAGCTTCTAGGCAGATATGATCCATTAACAACCACCTTCTGAGCATGACCACCAATCCAGGATTACCCATCAGGTTGTCCAACCATCAAGACTGTAATATCTCAGCTTGGACATCCCAGCAAGGACATTGTGGGAGATGGTCTCAGAAGCTTCCTAAAGTCAAAGTAAATGGCATTTAGTGTTCTCCTCTCTTCTACAAATCTAGTCATTTTACCACAGAAGGCACCCAGCTGGGAAACACACAATTCACCCTTCGTCAAACCAGGTGACTGTTACCCTCCACCTTCTTCATGTGCTCAGAGATGTACTCCAAGAGGACTTGCTCCATGAACTTCCCAGGCATCAAAGTGAGACTGACCTGTAATTCCTCAGATTATCCTTTCGGCTCTTTTTGAAGATGTGTGAGATACTTGCCTTTCTTCAGTTGTCAGGGCCCTCCCGCAGTCTTCATGGTCTTTCAAAGGTGATAGTGACATTGGCTGGCTTTCTCAGCATCCGCAGGTGCAGTCCATTGGATCCTATGGGCATGTATGTGGGTCAAGTTCATGCAAGCAATACCTGACTTGACCTTTATCCACTGAAGGTTGTTCTCTCTTCCTTGAGCCCTGTCCCTAAGCACAGAGAACTGAAAGACCTTGTTGGTGAGAACTGAGACAGGCATAGGACATTTCAGCTTTACTTGCATCTACTGCCACTAAATCACCTATCCCATTCAGCAGTGGTCCCATGTTTTCACTGTTTAGACTTCTACTACTAATATAGTAATAGAAGTTCCTTTTGTTGCCTGTGACTTCTCTCACCAGTTTCAGCTCCATTTGAAGTTTGGCTTTCCTGACACCATCCCTGCATGCCTGGGGAATGTTCCTAAATTCCTCTCTTATATCCTGCCCCTGCTTCCACCTCCTGCTGCCTTTTGGCACTGGAGCTGTGTCATGAGTTCCCTGCTTAGCCATGCTAGTCTCCTGAGAAATCTGCTTGCCTACTTGAGCATTGGGATGGTCTACTCTTGTGCTTGGAGGATGCTTGTCCTAAAGCCCTGCCAGCTCCCCTAAGTAGCTTGGCCCTTCAGAGCAACCTCTCACAGCATCCCACCTATCTGCTCCCTGAAGTCCCAGGTAGGTGCTCTGTTCTTTGCCTTCCTCAATCCCTGGAGGATCTTGAGTTCTCTATTTCATGGTCACTACAGCCCAGGCTGCCAGTGATTATTTTCTCCCCAGCCAGTTCCTCCTTGTTGGCGAAAAGCAGATCCAGCTTTTCAGCTGTGCATCACCCCTGGTTGGCCCATCCAGTACTCATACCAGCAACCACCTGGACTGCTTGCATCCTGCCATGGTACCCTGCTCAGGGATGTGAAGGAAGGTGAAGTCCCCTGGTAAGAATCAGGGTTGGTGGTCCAGTGACTTCCTCAAGTTTTTAAAGAGAGCTTCTTTCATTTCACCCTGATTAGGTGGTCTCTACCATCAGTGTTTTCTAACTACTAAAGACTGACTACTCTTTACACATGTGCCTCACATGGAATATCAAAATCTTCTGAGTCTAGTTACTTAGTACCATCTTCCAATACACTGCCATTTTCCATTCATTCCATCATTATTCCCAGTTACTGTACACCATTTGTCCATTGAAGTGTGTGAAACATTTAAGTAGCTGGCAGTGCAGCATAGCTTTGATTTTAGTTAATTCAATTTATTAACCTGCAGGAGTGAGGTGGTTAAAAAACAAGGCTAAAAAAATGGGAATGGGTAATTATCAGTTGTCATTCCATCCTGTTTTTCGTTTCAAAGGAAACTGAACAGAAATTTCTCTTCCTACAGATCTTTTGCTTAGAGAAGTAGCCCTGCATGCTAATCAAATGCTGAAAGTGCCTTGCATAGTTACTGTTTTTTTAGTTAGAACTGAAGTGAGACTTGTTCACTGGTCATTGTCAGGACTGTGTCCTATTTTTGACATTCATTTCTAAACTTTACTTAATTCTAGTTTTGGAGGCACAACACAGTTTTAGCATACCTATATGCCAAGGCAAAGGTAATAAACTACCCAACACTGTTCTGTTCATGTACAGAAAAGTTCTCTACATACCACTGCATAATTGTTTGCATCTTTATTGTTGAAGAGAGGACAAAGTAATCCTGATGAACAGGCTCTGATTAGGCATCAGAGGTAGTAACATGCCTATGAAATACAGTCTTCAAATATTAGAGATGTTTCCTTTGTATTTGCAAATCCGAGAAGAAGAGTAATTAAAACACCTTTTCCTAGTAGAGAATGGTGTGTAGAATTCCTGGCAAACTATGTTGGCATATCATACTGGTGGCTCAGGGATAATGAAATTACCAAAATACCCCTTTTGCTCTGAAAGAAAATTGACATTGCTACATAGTGTATATACAGGATTGGGAGAACCACTCTTACGTCTTAACAAAAAAGTCATTCTAGATAAGCAGTATCAAAACAGTGGATGCTTTTCTGTGCTACCTTTATAGGTATACAAAGATTAGGAAAAATGTGCTGCTAAAAATGCTCTAAACCACTACTCTCAGATCCACAAGGAAGGAATAAATTTGTCCTGTTCTTTAAACTACAAGGAACCCTGGAACCCTGAAGAAAGGTATGCACTGACTGCTGGATGTAAGTGCACTCCTTAAAACGTTTCTATATTGTCACATACGGGATTAAGACTTTTTAAAAGTAGGGCCAAATTCCTTTTTTAAGCATTCAAGAGGACTGATTTTTCAATGAATAAGTCACTTTGGTCTTAGCTGAAAATGAACCCATTACTAACAGACCCAGAGAAACGAAACTTGGAGACTTTTCAAAAATTGCCATTTTTAAACAGCACACGCAGTATCAGTGTTGGTAATATATGACTGTCCATGAGTACAGTCTAAGATTTACTATCTCAGAATAAACTTTTTTTTTTTATTTTAATGAGAAGTTTCTTCTTTGCTTCAATGGTTAAAGGCTTACATGATTCAAATATTGAACAATAGTTCTTTGAAAATTTTCAGCAGAAATTCAAGGCCAAAATTCTGTATGAATTTTATTAAATCCTTTCCTGAGCAAGATTTACAACACAACATGCAGATGCATTTAGTAACTTACTTCACAATACATTCCGCACTGACAGCAGTGTAACAAAAGTAGTAATTGAAGTTTCCAGCATTTAGTCAAAAAGTGACAGCACGTTCAATAAACAATTAGAGCTTTATTAGTAGTGTCAGTGTTAAGTTTCCAATGTTTATCAAGCTAAAGTGATTGATTCCAGCACCACATTTAAAGCTATTTATAATTCAACCACTTCTCTGTAAGTTTCAGAAGTGTTTATTACTTTCCCGCCGACCCAGTCTTAGACATGAGAGTAAAAACTTACCAATCACCCTCTTTTCTAATGGATATATTAAGTAAAGTGCAGAAGGAAAGAAAACTGGTAGCAAGACAAAACAGGATCTCAGCACAGGTGACTTACATCAGCATAATTCTGACAAGTTCTCCTGATGAAAAGCTGTGCTCATCTTGCCAGTTTTGTACCATAAGTGTATTAAAGACAGGGAGAGACAGACAGACAGACAGGGAGAGAGAAGACTGAGCAAGATGTAACTACTTGTAACTACTTACTGAATCAGGTAAGGCTGATTTTTCATTCATAAAAACGGTATGCAGCTCCCCTTCTTTAGAAGCTGTCACTTTTTAATGGTAAATCTTTCCTTTTCATGAAGTGTAAAAGAATTCTGGATGTGTTAAAAACTACAGTATTCTATTTAAGATCAGAATATTTGAAATTTCAGAAAACATTATGAGTCTGAATTGTTAATTTTATGTCTCATTTCATAGAAGAGACACTAAAATCTATCTTGAAATCAGGAATCTTTCCTCCAAGGACTGCTATAAACAATTTCAGCAATAAAGCAATAGCAGCTTTTCAAATCACAAGAGCTGTTCTTTTATGATTAATAACTAGTTATGCGGTTACAGTAAAACATGACATATATTCCTGCCTTTGTCCGAAAGCAATAGAAATATACCATCAAGCGATACAGATGCACATCACCAGTTTCAGTACAGCACACAATAAACAAGTGCCAAAGTGTCAAAAAAACTGAGTCTACGTAACCTGACACACTATACTACTTTTCATGTTACTGAAGAAGAAAGCTTAAGGCATACAAATAGAAGACTTTCTGGACTTCCTTTTATTTATTTTCAAGCAAAGCAAAGTTGGAAACGATGGAGTTTCACTAAAACTCACTTGGTAAAATGCTACTCTCTTAAGGTCATAGTTGTACTGACTCCTGAATTAAGGATGACTATTATTAAAGGCAAAAAACCACACTGTTTTATCTTCTTGTTTGGCTATCACCTTGGTGCTCTGTGGGACGGTCTAATGTTTTAATCTCACCCTTGTATAAACTTAACAACGGAGAAAACAGCAGCACTTACCAGCCAAAGACTGACAACAGCAGCTGAATGACACAAACAAATTTTGTTTCATGTTTTGAAAGAGCTCAGTTATGCTGGATTATTGAACACTTAACTGCCCAGCAACCTGTGGCAGAATATCCTGATTGGTACTTAAACCAACAAAAGAGTTTAAATAAGGACCCAGTTCCCATGTGCAGAGTGCTGCTATTTATGCTAACAGTCAACAGTTTGTCCACAAGGACAGCACCGTGCTGTACTTTAGAAAAAATAAATCCCTTTAAATGCTCTAAGTGAAGGAGCCACTAGTGTTAGAAAGGGAGACCAAGGAAAGCATATTTCAGATTTGCGCCACCTATATATAAGAACACTTTTAAAAACTTCTTGATACTTTTGGAAAGACCCCATCCTCCAGCCCCTATGATTAGAGAGGACAGATACATTGCTTTTTGTGGAAACACTAGAAATAAGGACAGCAGAACAGGGGAAAACCAGCAGGCACCTGAAGGAATTCAATGGGGAAGGAAAATAAAAACACCACCCTCAAAGCAAAACATGTTCTAATTTTTCTATTGAGCCCATATCACAAAAGAACTTATAGTAGTATTTATTTTTACTGTTAAAAAAGCAGACAAAAGAAATGAGTTCATTAAAATCATGCTTTTCTAGTTAAGTCGATATTTCCTCTGATAACGTTTCCTCCTGCTTCTGACATCCTGTAGTGTTACTTTGTAACTATTGCTCCGTTATAAATCAGATCAGTGATTGTCAGAAATGTGGCATTCACACTGATTTCTTTTACTGGCATGCAAGACTCCAATATTACACATCAACAGCGGAGAACTTTAAAACGTCATCAGCATATCACGTTCTTGTACACTAGTGTAGAATGGTCTCCCAAAGATGAAGGAATGCAGACCTGGCTTAATCTTCTCAGCTAAGGCCATTATTATGTTAAGATCGCCCTCTGCTGTTAGGTCAAGGTCTATCTTTAAGCTACGAAGAGACTTAAAAGGTTTTTTTCCTTTTTGCCTGCAAGAAAGAAAAAAATGATTTTTGAAGCCTGGATAAGGTAAAAGAGAAAAAAGGAAGTTTATAAGAGTCTGTTTTCTATTATCTGTTGACTTACGTGTCATCCTCTATGTATTTTATTAAAGTCAAGGCTTTTCTGTGAAGGACTAGCAGAAATTGTGCAAGGAAAGTACTCCTTAGAGATAAGCCAGGTTTCAGGTGAAAGATCTGTTAAAAATTATCCCAGAAAATTAGCTGGACATAGAAATTCAAGAATCATTTTAAGCATGTGGAATATAAAGAAACACTGCATACACATGTAACAAACAGGTCCCTAATATAGCAAAACAAACATATTAACAGCAGATTCATAGACACACTCGAGATACAGTCTTAGTTGTCTAGGTGCTCAGATGCAGTAAATTAAGCTATTTCACAGTTCTATTAGGACTGAGTTATATTTTCCTTTTTTACATTATTTGAAAAGAATCTCAGACAGCTTCTCCAATGTTGTAATTCCAGACATTGTTGCACAGTAATAGAAAATTTGCATTAGTTTTTATCCATAATAAGTAGGACTTTCATTATTATCCTAATATACAAATTAAGTTTAAATGTTTTCAGAGATCATCTGTGTTACCAGCTAGATATTTTAAATGGTCACTGTCAGACGCCTTCTCCTGGCTAGGCAGAGAAGAACATGAAAAGGAGCTACCTGACAACAACACACCTATTTGCGTTAAATTACTTGTTCCTAGAGCCCAAAGTACTGATTTTTAACTCTTGTTCTTTCTGAAAAAACAACCATTACCTGATCCAGGAAGGCTTTTACCAATGTATCTCGATGCAGGATATCTTGAAAGACATTTCTATAGAAATGAAAACAAACAAACCTGAGGTAACGCCATGAAGAGATGCTACATGAAGAGACGTACTTCTTTACAGGAACAGTATTACTGCTTACAGTCTGGCAGAAATTAGGTGAACTCAAAATTTTATTGAATTATAATCCTGCTATTTTTAAAGGTAATACAGAATTTCTATGCCAAACTTTTTCATGTGAAACGAACCAAAACCAGGAAAGCGGTTGGGCCCTGTCAAATAGACTTAGCTGTCGTGTATTCCCATTTAAAACCAGGCAACAAAACGAACAAAACACTGTCAGAAGTGTCACTGAAAATGAATTTCAGTAACATTTAACCACTGACAGAACCAGTAAATTCCAAAAGAGGAACAGCAACTACCACAGTTGAAGTAGCTTCTTACAAGCAAAAAGCCCCCATCCTGTACTTTATTGGAAAGCTTTACACCACTATTCGCTCAACCCAAATATCTCTGATGAGTTGTGAAAGAAGAGTACATACAAATCAGGTGTGAAACTCTCATCTGTGTGGATAATAGGATCCTGAGACATCTCTTCATCTGAATTAGCTCTCCAAAAGGCTGTCAGCTCAGACCTCATATATCGTCGTTGGTTATAGATGTGTTCATGACAAGGAGGCATCTGCTTCACTGTATTGACATCTACATCTATATGTGTAGTAGGATACGGAGCATACATTACTTGACGGAAGGGCAACACAAAGCTTCCTGTTGCATCCTGTTACAGTGAAAAAAAATTAGTTTCCTAGGTATTTTTTGGAAAAGCAAAGCTATACTGGAAACAAACAATATTAAAACATCATGCCTACAGTTTAAATCCCATTTGTTTAGATATACTTTGTTGGAGAAAAATGGTGGCAGTAAGCCCAGGAGAATGTCCTAAAATAATGGATGATTCCCTTAAGGTAACAGTGAGAAAAGGAGTATTGAGTTAACCTGCCTATTACATTACATCATTACACAATCTGCTTCTTGATCCCATTAAGAATTCCACATATTTATCTGACAAATGATCATTAGAGCAAGGAGCATTATTTTTCTATATATTCTCACTATATATTGCTACAGTCCTTTTAAAACACGTGGAAACCCTATGACTGATGGATTGTTCTTTCTTGGTTATGCTATAACGCAAAAATGCAATGCTTTTTGGGATCCATCCTAGCCCCAAGTAAGCAAAAGAGTATTGTTGTACTCTGGATTGTAGGAACAACTGGGAAAAATACTGTACAGAAGAAATAGATGCCTCAGAAAAAAAGAACAGCTTGGAATTTTAACAAGAACCGAGTTATGGGCATACCTATAGCGCTAGGAAGGAATGAAAGAAAGACAACATATTTCCTTAAGCATGAATGTTTGTATGTGTATGCCTATCACATATACACACACATACACATACACTGAAGAATGCTCTTAAGCTACTGGAGAATAAAAATTGCCTTAACTGACTTACTTTGAGTAATCCTTGAACAAAAAGTCCCGACTCATACTTGAAAGAAGACTCATTTCTACAGAGTCTGGAACACTTCCGTTCTGATGGCGTAAGAAACAGACACAATGTTCTCACAATCTGCATTATAAAAACAGTTTTGTAAAGACAGGAAAACTTAAAGACTAAGTTGATCCTGAAAAACAATTTTCAACACAAATGCACTAACTATTTCAAATGCTAAATGAAAAAGTTCATCACACTTATTAGAAGACCCAGAAATAGGGTAACGTGAGAGAACAGCGACATACTTAAATTACAAAGACATAAACTGTATTATTCCAACTTCCTGTTAAATGAGTAAAATCCCACACCTTTTGCCAGAGCTCACTTCTTAGCCAACTACATAGGACAAATCACTTTTGCCTTCTGTTAGCTCTTCTTATTACTTAAAAATGAGTTACAGGAAAGTAAAATCATTACTTTCCTCGCCCAGTAGGCCTGTTATTTTATTTGCTGCATATAAAACACTGGCTATTGTTCAAAAAAGGCAAAGTTAAATTTTTTTTAAAATAAGCATCCTGCTTATTATGTTTCCTCAATATTATTTCCTCAAGCTCTCCATTAAAAGCAAAAAAGGTATCTCATTATCCTGTTTCATACTCCTATGCTGCAACAGTTACAAATAACGTTCTTCAAATACTAACGTATATTCCACTGTACTAATCTGACAGTCTTAACTTCTAGTTTCTTAACTCTCTGTAAGGTGTTTGGGAAGGATCCATCCTTGCTCAATATCTTTATACACCGCCTAACACAATGGTATCCCAGTTTCTGACTTTTGCACTTTGCCACTTCAGCATGAGGCAGCAGGGTTTTTTTTATTATAAAGAAAGCTCAAGTATGCCATGAAGAAAGTACTTTCTTTAGAACAGTTACACCATGACACAAGGAGCACAGTACTGATAAGGACTTGTGTAGTATTTATGAAATTTTGCACTGGCTATATCTGGAGACTCACATTCTTCTAGACTCTTTTTTTCCCCCCCAAACATCTAGCTTATCAATACGTTTTTTTAAACACTCATAACTACTTAAGCCTTTAGCACTGCTTAAGGCTTTGGTTAGCTCTGTAAGTGGTATTTAGAGGGTCTGTCTGCTGGTCTTTCTGTCCATCAAACCAAAGATGTAGATATTGCTGAACCTACAAACATGTAGGTATTGCGAAAATCCAAAAGTTATACTGGAGGACTTAATTCTTCTTGCAGAATCACGGTAATGGCTAGAGTTGAAAAGACTGGGTTAACTGTCATGATAACTCTACAAAGTGTACATCTTACATCCCTGAAACAATACTTGTTAAGTCCAGTTAGCAGATTTCAGCTAAGAGTCGAGAATTTTCTTTTCTCCAGTTCCTACTGCTCATGATTAGATTATCAACTGTTTTTTTCATTTAATCAGAGGTGCTTTACCCTCACTCTCAATACATACAGAACGATTCCTTTCTTTCTCATCTTTTAAAAACATCATGAAGTGCTTACTTCAAAACACGAAGAAGCCTTGCTTTTTTCTGAACCTTTTAAAAAAAGAATATATTGAATATATTGAATATATTGTGGTGTAGCTAATATACAAATATATAGTTGCATAATAATCTATAATATATTCAACAGGCCTAGTATTCTTAATTGTTATTTTATTTTGAAGCAATATACACAGAGATAAGACACACTTATACATACATCAAAAAAGGGGATCAGTTCCAAGGATTAAAATGAGAGGTCTTTCCAAAAGGAAGGTTTCAATCTTACAAAATAAATTACAACTCAATTATCAGTACATCATAACTAAAAACATGATCAGACAGAAAATCCCAGTGTAGAAAAAGATTTCCCATCAGTAAATGAAGTTATCTGACTATGCTGCTTATCCCCATGTATACTCAGGAGCCTTGTCATGGTCTCAGAACATGAAACTACTGTTACTACACTGTCCAGAGCAACACTCAGAGCACTACCAGTGTACTTATTAAATGCAGTGGCCCCTTAAATGCAACACTCGAAGGCTCTAGGACCATATGTTTTTATGAAGCCCTTCTTTCCATTCCCAGTTGCAGTGATATTCTGAATCAAAGAGGCTCACTGGAGGACTAAACTGTGAGTGAAGAGAGGCAATTTATCTAGTGAATTCCATTTGCTCTTGAAAAAATATTTTCTCCACGATTTGTCTCTACATATTTTGACTGAAGACTAACTTTAGTGTTTTTATCAGAAGGGACAGAATAACAGTCTAATTAAATGCAAGCCAAAGGGAAATCTTTCCGAATGAAAGACTGATATATCGCAGTATGCCATAAATAAATAGGCTTTAAGAAATAATTTAGGGAACACTAAACACAGGTATATCTCTTCCAGGAATTGCTTTCAATTTATTTGAAACTTATTTGAATTTATTTGAATTTGATTATTTTATAATCCAAAAACTATGTATAAAAATGTATTTGGAAACTTCTGAATAAGAAAAATATCCTCCCTTCAATTATTCCTTCAAACACTGTGTAAGCTTAAAATAAGCATCACAGAATTCTCTGTATTTGCACAAAAATATTACAGGGAAAACAGAGCAGATAATATCATATTGCTTCAAATTAAGTATTTCATAACAGATTTAGAAAAAAGTTTAAAAACTATGAACAACATGGGGAAAAGGAAGTCTACCTCAAAAATGTAATAATTGGATTAGAGCCTCAAAATATGACTTTCAGACCATAATGATGTATGCAAATTTTACTTTTCTCTGTTAAGAGGTGCAGCTAATGCTGCCTATTGTTTCTAGACCTGGAAGCTCCTTAGCATTACGCCTACTGATAAGTGAGTTTTACACATGCTCCAGTCATTATGCTGAAATATTTTGTTACTACAGGGCTCAGTTTTAGGGGTTTATATCTGTGCTTTGCATCCGTCTGGCTCTTCAGAAAAGCTGAGTCAAACTTAATTTAAGGATCTATCAAGTCTATCAATTAAACTGTATAGTCACTTACAAATTCGGTTTAAACAGGCTGAAGACAAAGAGTCAACACAAACACAGCTATGCAGACAAAATTCTTGTAACTGATGGCAATATTATAATATCCTAGTAAGTATAATATCCCAGCAAGCTTGAACATTTTGAGGTGTGACTACAGATGCATAATCTGAAATGCCTGTATACCAATGCACACAGCATGGGGAATAAACAGGAAGAGTTAGAGATCTGTGTGCGGTCGCAGGGCCACGATCTCGTTGCAGTTACAGAGACATGGTGGGATAGCTCGC